GTGAATGGCCTCGCGGAGGATAACCTCATGCCCGTGAGAATAAACACTAGGGGATAATAAAGTTCGGGGTTCAGGGAGAGATAATAAAAGTAGCCCAGCAGACCTCAGCATAATCTCGAAGTAAGAGATGATCAAGAGGAGACCAAGCCGAGCACGTTTTGAGACATCCTTGGCGTTTAGTTTTCATAGAAATATCCTCAACAATGGCTTATCTCTCATGAAAATTGTTGTTTGTAAGTGCTCGTGTAGGGTAGCTCATGTGCCTCAATTTCCATGGATAATCAACCCCAGAGATAAAAAAGTTCAGGCGAGCGTGCGGACAGAGAGAAATATAAAAGAAGAATAATACAGTAGAAGAATAATAAGAAAGAAGAAGAAGAAAAAGAGGAGAATAAGAAGAGGACGAAGAAAGGAAAAATCCAAAGTTCCAAATATATCAATGTTAATTTACAAACGCTTTATGAAAATTGATTTTTTAAGTGCTAGTGTAGGGTAGCTCATGTGCTTCATTTTCCATGGATAATCAACCCCAGGGATAAAAAAGTTCAGGCGAGCGTGAGGACATATAGAAATATAAAAGAAGAAGAGGAAAGTATAATAATAATAAGAACATTGCTCGTTTCGTTTGAGTCTGCCTCCCAAAATTATTGGTTTCGCTTGACACATCCTGAAAAAGTGTGATCGCTTCGCTTGATGTTGCTATATCAACATCGCTTGATGTTGCTATCTCAACATAGCGTTTCGAGGTGATAATGAAGTTCGGCCTCAGCGCTCGCCGCCCAATTTGAATTTTGTATAGGGCGACGATAATCAACTCTAAACACTGAAGGGGGGGGGTCCCTTTATTATCATCGGCATGCGGTTAACACATCTGCCGTTGCTCGCCTCCCTCCCCACCCCTGGGGCTGCTCCGCGCTTGCGGTGGGTACGCGGGTGCTCCAGGAGGGCCTCCCGTCGGGGCCGGTTGCGACTCGAGCGGAGGCCCCCAGCGGCGCTGGGCAGGCGGGGGCAGATCGGAGTGGTCCGGCGAACGGAGCTCGTCACCTATTCTTTCGAGCCCTCTTCGCCCCCTTCCCCCCGAAGAAGAGACGGGAGAGACTGCACGCGCATGGCCTGGATCTCCCGGGGGACCGCCCGCCCCGCCAGCAGCGGCGATGGGGCCAGCGCCCCAGGGGGGGCGAGGGGGGGCGATTCGCAGCTTGGCCCTGCTGACCTGGGAAGTGACGCGGGGTGCGCGCCCCTCGAGAGGTCCAGCTGGGACACGAGCGGCGCAGATGGCTCTCCAATCGCCCTACTGGCGCCACACTCCGACCGAGCGCGTCCGCAGTTTGGGGGATGATCATACGTACCGCCGCCGCGACTGGAGCGACCCCCACGACAGCCTCTACAAGGCGCCTCGATGCGACATTCGCTGGACGCCGCAGTTCAGGACGGAGCCTACCAACCGTCCAAAAAGGCACCTGCGGGGCATTATTTGTGAAGGGCTGGGCTGGAACCAGGCTTGTGACGCGAGGGATGGCAAGGGACGGGGCAAGGGATGCTGCAACCCTGGCGGCTACGACGGATTCTGCAGGCAGTTCCTGGACGACCCATCCGCCTCCTGCTATGACATTGGGGCCTTCTGCTGCTGCTGGCGCATCGACGTCGACTGCGACGACGTGTGGCGGCAGCAGCAGGACCAGCAAGCGCAGGCAGGTGGAGGGAAAGGCCAAGGACGCAAGAGGGCCAGCGGCGCTTCCTGGCCAGCTGGGGACCACCCACGCACGCGGGGGATCCAGCCTCCACGTCTGTCCCGCCGCCAAGGGTGCCGTCGGCCCGCGACGAGTTCTCGGACCTGCCCCCTGGGACGCCCGGCACTTGCTGAGCCCTCGGGTACAAGGTACAACTGTCGACTACACGTAAGAGTGACCCTTCGCCGGAGTGACATTTGGTGCGGGCTCATCGGGCTCCCCCCGATCGCCGAGCGCGATGCGATATAAGCGGCCCGCGCCCTTGGGTTCGGCCCCCTCGCGCCCCCAAAAGCTGCGCACCAAAGGTCACTCTTACCCATGGTCACTCTTGCGTCTAGCCGAACCTGGCAGCAATGGCACTCTGCACGGCGCTCACCCCCCCCCCAGTAAGCACCTGGCCTCTTTTCCATGTACGTGCACAGACCGGGCGTTTCTCCCAAGGGCGCGCTACCCCTCAGGTGGCGCGCCCTCCCTCCCCCTCTTCCACTCGGGTGCGTCCACCCCCTAGGTTTAGGTCGGGCCTATTCTTCTACAGGGGGAAAATTCAAAAATAGTAAACGAATACTCTGGGGACGATTTGTTGACCATTTTTTTTTGGGGGGGGGCATGTTTGCGGTATGTTTCATTTTTCGTCCAAAATCGGCCTGTAGGGGGACACGCTTGGCTTAACCCTAGGTGGATTCTCCCCCTCCTCCCTTTGGAGCGCCTGCCCCCCGCGCGGCGGGTCCCCACGCCCTCGTGCGAAGCGACCGCAGCGCTCCCCCCAGGCGGGCGCCTCGATATCTGCACGTGCACCGACCAGGCGCGACGTGGCGTGGCGAAGAAGTGGGCGATCCTAGACACGCCCGCCGTGATCCCTGGCGATGCGGCTCCGAGTCCGAGGGGGTCTTGGGTGTGGCCTCTGCTCCGCCCCTTGCTGGCTCTGGCATCGAGGCCCCTGGGTGTCACCTGCGGGGAGGTTCCCTCTCTGGCCGCCGCCTCCTGCCTCTCTTCCCCAGCTGCACCCCGCGCCTGCTGGCTTCGATGCGCGGCGGCCCGGCGGCCTCCCCAGTGCGTTGCTTGCGCCAGCCGGGAGGGCGCCCTCCGCCGCCCCGCCCCGGCTGCTGCGGGGCCCCCCGCCTCGCCAGCCCTGCGGGGTGTTGGCTGTGATGCGTGCACAGGCTGGTTTCGGTTCCCTTCTCCTCCCCGCGCCCGCCGCCGCTGGGGCGTCCCCGCGGTGACTTGCGGCACCACGGTGCCCGCTGGCGGTGCCCAGCACAGCAGCTGCTGCCGGCAATGCAGCCATAGACCTACAGTTCGGTTCTCAGCAGCTCCGCATGGCTTGATTGCAGCATCTCGCCGCCGCGAGCTGATCGCGGCCCAGACATTGTGGGGCCTCACTGCATCCGCCGGGCCGTGCTGCAGCAAAGCCTGTCACCCACGGCCTTTGAGGAACACCCGGATGCCCCCGCTTGCGCGGGCTTGCTCGCCGCTCTTCCTACGGTATTGGTACGACTTGGTCTACGCTTCTGCGCGTGCAGGCTGGCCGCCCCGGCCGGCCACTCCAGTCGAGGATTTTCATGTTGTGAGTGTCCTCCCTCCTATTCCCGTCCTCCGCGACCGCTCTCCGCCTTGGTCCCGTCTTGCCTCCAGACAGTTAGTGCGTGCCCGAGCCCAACCCAGTAGAGCCCGCGCGGGGATTGCCCCTGACGCGCTGCGACGGGACAAGTTGTTTTGCAGGTTTCTCTTATTCGAAAGAGCGTGTTCTACCGCTGCTGGCGGAAAACCGGGGGGGGGTCACTACCGGTTCGAACCCCTCCCCCCCCCCTCCAGAAAACCGGGGGGGGTCATTACCGGTTCGAACCCCTCCCCCCCCCCAGTTCATCATGAAAAGGGGTGGGGGGTCACTACCGGTTCGAACCCCCCCCGCCCCGAACTCGAAAACCGGGGGGGGTCACTACCGGTTCGAACCCCCCCCCCCCCTTCTCGAAAACCGAGGGGGGGGCGGACAATGGTGGGGACGGTGGTGGTGGGGACAGTGGTGAGGGGACAGCGGGACAGTGGTGGGGACAGTGGGACAGTGGTGGGGACGGTAGTGGTGGGGACAATGGTGAGGACAATGGTGGGAACAGTGGGGACAGTGGGACAGTGGTGGGGACGGTGGTGGTGGGGACAGTGGTGTGGGGACAGTGGGAATGTGGTGGAAACAGTGGGACAGTGGAGGGTACAGTGGTGGTGGGGACAGTGGTGAAGGCGGTGGCGAGGACGGCGGTGGGAAATGGGACAGAGGTACAGTGGGGACAGTGGTGGGGACAGTGGGGACAGTGGTGGGAACAGTGGGACAGCTCAGTGGGACAGCGGAGGAGTCAGTGGGACAGTGGGGACAGTGGGGATAGTCGGGCAGTGGTTGGGGCCGTGGAGAAAGTTGGGAGAGTGGAACCGTGGTGGGAACAGTGGTGGGGACAGTGGGGACAGTGCGACAGTGGTGGTGGCACTGGTGGGGACAGTAGGGGCGGTGGTGGAACCAGTGGGGACAGTGGTGGTGAGGACAGTGGTGCTGGGAACAACAGTGGGGGATGTGGTGAGGACGGTGGTAGGGACCGGGAGTCGTTTGCTGGCGGTGAGAGGGGGGGTGGGGAGGGGTTCGAACCGGTAGTGACCCCCCCTCCGGTTTTCGAGGGGGGGGGGGGGGTTCGAACCGGTAGTGACCCCCCCCGGTTCTCGGAGGGGGGGGGGGGGGGGTTAGGGGAGGGGGGGGTTTTGCCGGGGGAGAAGGGGGGGGGGCCAGCAGGGGGGGGGGGGGGATTTTCGGAGGGGGGGGGGGGGTTTGGAGGAAGTTTGGATACAGTAAAGCCGCGGTGGATCACGCTCTCTCTCTCATTCGTTTCCCCCCCCCTCCCCCTTTGACCGCTTCCCAACAGTCCCCAGAGACCCAAGCACGTCCAGAACCCGATCCTCGAACCTCGCTCGACAACGACGACGACGACGACGACGACGACGGCGGCGGCGGCGGCGGCGGCGATGACGACGACGACGACGACGACGACCACCACGACGACGACCACGACCACGACCACGACCACGATCACGACCAAGACCGCAACCACGACCACGACCACGACCACCACCACCACCACCACCACCACCACCACCACCACCACCAGGACCACGACGACGATGACGACGACCGTGATAACGACGACGACGACGACGACGACGACGACGACGACGACGACGCGCCGAGCGGTTCTTCGGGGCAGGGCCCGGCGAGAGGGGGCGCGCCCGCGCCAGGGGGCAGGTTGTTCAGGCACCGCATCAGGGAGCTGCACGCCACGGCCGCGGGCTCGGGGGCCCCAGGTGCGGCCCGGGGCCCTGGGCCGCGAGGCCACGGCGGCCACGGGCACATCCGAGGCCGCAGCCGCGGCCATGAAAAATCACGGCGGGAGGTTTCTCGCGGCCCAAAAGAAGGCGGCGCAGTGCGACACCCCACCCGGCATCCTCAGCGCGTGGCCCCCTTCCTCGGGGCGGCGCGCTACGATGGCCCCCACGCGTGGTGGCCAGACCCCCTGTGCCGACGAACCACGGCATCTCCCCAGACCAGTCAAACGGTGTTTGGGCACATTCGTGGGCCGCGTTCGTTTTGATTTCGCGTTGTCGCGTTGCAGCAAAAGTGGAACGAAGACAGAACGAGGGATAGCGAAAACACAACGAAAACGGAAAGCACTGTTTAGCTTGAGTTTTGCCCCAGATATCCTTGAGTTTTTCTTTATTGTCGGCCTCTGGGGGTCTTTACCCGACCTCGAGAAGGTCAATACATTACTCAGGATGAGAAACGGGTCCTAGGGGAATGGATCGAGGCGTTTGGGGATCGACGTTATGAAAAAGGCATGATTTCGGGGGTCTGGCGGTACAGCCGCGGCCACAGCCATGGCCATGCTCACGCAGAGGCCCATCAGGAGCAGCGTGAACGGGTGGTGATGGGCTCAGGGCTGGATGCATCGACCCCCCCGATAACCTTCAGTCGGGCATGTCCCTCTACAGGAGGAAAACTCAAAATACTCAAAAATTAGTCTGGGTATGAGTTTATGGCTATTTTTTATATATTTTGTTGACTAGTTTCTATGGTTCGCCCAAAACCCGACTGTAGGGGGGGATGCCCGACCTAACGATAGCCTGCGCCGCCCAGGACGGTGCGGGCTCGCTGTCGGGGCCCTATCGCCGATCTCTCGACGATGCATCGCCGATTCCAGGTCGATGTCTCCCCCCCTGAGCCTGCCCCCCCCCCAGCATTCGATCGGGTATGTCGCCCTACACGCGGATTTTGGACGAACAATCCAAAATAGCCCAAACAAATAATCAACAGCTACTTAAACATAGTCGAACAAACTGTCCCCTGATTATTTTTTGACCATTTGGAAAGTTCCTCCTGTAGAGGGACACGCCAGACCTAACCCCAGCGTTCCCCCGCAGCCATGGCCATGGCCACGCAGGGGCCCAGGGCCGAAGGCTCAGGCTCAAGATCAAGAGCGCGGGCTCGCGGTCCAGGGCAGAGCTGGCGCCGCGCTGGCGCGGCGGCGGCGACGGCGCGGCCTTCCAATCGGAGAAACGTAAGACTCGAGTAAGCCGGAACTCGGGTTTGCGGACGTTTTTTGACGAGCGCGCCCTGGATTTTGACGGTCCAGTTTTCGTGGGATGTCTGCAGCGGGAGCCCGCGTCAAATTTCAGGCTGGGTCGCGTCATTTTTATGGTGGCCCCGTCGGGCCAACCCGAGTCCCTCTAACCCGAATCTTACGTCTCCCCGATCCACGTTTGAGCTTCACCGGCCGCCTGGACTCGGCCGGCAAGGAGCGCACTCCGACCACCTGGAAGCGGCGATCATCCGCATTCGGTTCGGCGATCCACGGGGCGTCAGGAGCCAGCGACGTCATCGCGGCGCAAACTTGCCGCAGGTTTCTGGACGTGATTGGCCTCTGTCTGGGCCTCCCAGATGGGGTCCGAGTAGATGGAGTTTGAGGATCGCGCGGCATCGCCGATCTTCTCCACGCCGACGTCGCAAACGCGTCGCCGACGTCGCCGATGCATCGACAATTCGGCGCGATCCTCCGACCCAGCCTGCCCAAACCACATCTGAGAAACCTTTACTCTGAGGGGCCTCTGACAGGGCCTCGGAGGACATCTGGAGGCGTCCAGAGGCTTCCGTGAGACTGCGGGGACCTCAGGTGGAGGTCGCCAGAGGTCGTGTTCGACATCGTTGCCGTCAACGAACACAGTCCGAAGCGAAGATATCTCCGTCGTCGGCACCATCGTCGTCCGTCGTCGTCCTCGCGTGCGCCCGGCGAGGAGGAGGAACAGGACGCCTTTTGAAACCGTCATGTGGCTTCCTGTCGGCTTCCTGGAAACATTTTGGAGGCATCTGACGGGCCTCTTGGGGCCTCCTAGGGCCTCTTGGGGGGCTTTTGGGACGTTAAGATGCAGGTGTCAGAGCCCAGAGAGCACCAAGCCGAAGTACAGTCAAAGCTGATAGTAAGGATGCGAGTCCCCTGGACGCCCATGACGAAGCTTTTCGAGCGGGGCTCGCCATCGAAAGTAGTCGAGGACGGACCGAAGAGGCAAGGATGCAAGGGTACCCTCGGGAATAGTACCCATCTTTACCATCGGTGTCGACTGTACGTGGCTGAGCAGTATTATATACAAGGCTTAGAAGCCTTGATTCAGGCTGCGCTGAAGCGAGGCGCGGGACCGTCGGCGGGGAGAAGCAACATGCCTCTAATTGACCTCTTGGCTTTCAGAGGCCGTCTTTGGGGCCTCTCTGGGCAGTCGTCGGTCCCTCGTCGGGCGCTTGAGGGCCGTCTTGAAGGTCTTGAAGGTCTTGGGGCTGTCTCGGGGCCCTCTTGGGACGTTCCGCGGAGCTTTTGGGGGCCTCTGGGGCCGCCTTGGGGCGATCTTAGGGGCCTATGGGGCCGTCTTGGAGCGTCGGGAGCCCGAAAACGCGAGAACTTTAAAATTATTAGCACACATTCAAACCACTCAAAAACAATAGTAATAGCAATTGTTTTAGTTTGCTGGAGTTCCTCTTGAGGCATCGTGGGCCGGTTTGAAGACCTCCTGGGACCATCATGGTTTGGGAGGCGTTTTGGGACCGTTTTGGAGGCTGTCTTGGATGGCGTCTTGAAGGCGGAGGCAGGTGCTTGATGGTTCGCTCGGGTCTTGCCTGGTGGACCGCTCCGTGGGCCGAAGGCTATTGGGAAAAGTTCGGAAAGGAACAACATAGTAAAAAGGTCCGCACGCCAAGCACCCTCGTGACATGCACAGGGGGCAGTGGATCGAAGACGTCTACGGCGAATCACCGCCGCCCCCTTGCCTTTTGGAATCGCCCATGTGGCCGAGCATTGTGGGTCGAGCTCTGCCAAGTTATGTATCGGGCCATGTGTTCCCCCAACCGTTGTAGAACCCCTTCGGGGAACACTGGGGAGGATAGCGGGAAAGATGAGGAGGAGGAGGAGGAGGAGGAGGATGAGGAGGGGAAGGAGGAGGAGGAGGAGGAGGAGGAGGAGGAGGAGGAGGAGGAGGAGGAGGAGGAGGAGGAGGAGGAGAGGGCATCGTGGGAGCCTTTGGGAGCACGCTGGGGACCTCCTGGGAGCTTCCTGGGAACCTCTTAGAGACATCTTAGGGGGCCTTTGGGGGCTTCTCGGGAGCCCCTTTGGCAGATTTAGGGCATTCCTGGCCCGCCTGACGCCGTCCGTCGGAAGCCGTCTTGGGGGCCTCTGTGGGCCCCATAGGGCCATCTTGGGGTGCTCCAGGGCCGTTGGATGCCTCTTGGGCCGTCTTGGGGCCATCTTGGGGCAGTCGTGGGGGGCCCTTGGCCCATTCTTGGGCCATCTTGGAGGCCTCTTTGGCGATCCTGAGGCGATCCTTTGGGCTCTTGGGCCGTCTCGGGCCGTCGGAAGACCAAAAAGAAGCAGATGCCAACATTCGTTCAGCACCTAAGGGACATACATGATCTTGGCCTCGGACCTTCCTGGAAGCCCTCTTGGGGGCCTCTTGGGCCGTTTTGGAGACCTCTTGGTGGCCTATTGGGCCGTCTTGGTTCATCTTCGAGCCATTTTGGGCAGTCTTGATGGCCTCCTGGCCCGCCTGATGCTGTCGAAAGCCGTCGTGAGGGCCTCTCTGGGCCGCCTTGGGGCCTTCTTGGGTTGCTCCAGGGCCGTTTTGGATGCCATATTGGAAGTATTCGAGGCCTCTTGGGCCGTCTCGGGGCCCTCTTGGGGCCGTCTTGGGGGCCTTTGGGCCCGTTCTGGGGCAATCGTGGAGGCCTCTTGGTCGCAATTGGGACGATCTTTGGTGGCTCTTGGGCCGTCTCGGGCCGTCGGGAGTCCGAACAGAAGCAAACGCCAAAAACCTTCAAACACCTAAGGAATATTAATTATTCTGGGGTGCTCCCTATGGGGCCACGAGTCGCTGTACTGGGCGGGTGAACGCAGGGGGGAGGGAGGAGGGGGCCACGAAACGCTGTACTGGGTGCGGGGGACGCATGCAAACGGTAGCACTGAGACCTTCGGTGTGGCTCCCTATGGGGCCACGAAGCGTTGGATTGGATGGGTGAAACGCAGGGAGGAGGGAGGATGGGGCCACGAAACGCTGTACTGAGTGCGGGGGACGCATGCGGACGGTAGCACTGGGACCTTCGGTGGGGCTCCCTATGGGACCACGAAGCGTTATATTGGGTGGGTGAAACGCAGGGAGGAGGGAGGAGGGGGGCACGAAACGCTGTACTGGGTGCAGGGGACGCATGCGGACGGTAGCACTGGGACCTTCGGTGGGGCTCCCTATGGGACCACGAAGCGTTATATTGGGTGGGTGAAACGAGGAGGGGGCCACGAAACGCTGTACTGAGTGCGGGGGACGCATGCAAACGGTAGCAGTGGGACCTTCGGTGGGGCTCCCTATGGGGCCACGAAACAATGTATTGGATGGGTGAAACGCAGGAAGGAGGGAGGATGGGGCCACGAAACGCTGTACTGGGACGGGGGACGCATGCGGACGGTAGCAGTTGGATCTCCAGTGGGGCTCCCTATGGGGCCACGAAACGTTGTAGTGGGCGGGTGAAACGCAGGGAGGAGGGAGGATGGGGCCACGAAACGCTGTACTGAGTGCGGGGGACGCATGCGGACGGTAGCACTGGGACCTTCGGTGGGGCTCCCTATGGGGCCACGAAACGTTGTACTGGGCGGAAGACGCAGGGAGGAGGGAGGATGGAGCCACGAAACGCTGTATTGAGTGCGGGGGAGACATGCGGACGGTAGCACTGGGACCTTCGGTGGGGCTCCTTTTGGGG